GCAGCCAAGTGCTTAAAGGAAATGAAAGCCCTGGAGGTTTGGGGCTGGGTCAGAGCTCTCATCAGAAATCCTCATCCTTCCTCTGCTCAGCCCCATGACAGCTCTGCCAGGACAGGGCACACACACGTCACCTACGGTCAGCAAAGAGGATCTTTTGTAAAACCCAGAGAACCAAGAACAGAGACAAGCCAAGGTCAGTGGTGAAGGGCACGTCATGGGTGGAAGCTCTCACAATGCTTTCACAAGCTTTGCTTTCCAATCCAAGTACTCCCACAGCAGCCAGGACATCTCTAACTGGGACCGTGTCCGTGCTTCCCAGTGCCTCCTCACTGCTCCCCAAATTTACTCATTTTCCAGCTTTGCCTCAAATGCTCAGTATTGAGATTGACAGAAAAGCCCAGAACAGCCCCTGGGTCATGTAGACTGGCCTCTTGCCACACTTTGCACTTGTCCACCTCTTAGTGCTTAGGGAGGTCCCTTCGTCTTCATCTCCATTTTCAGCTGTTGCACTTAAAACATGAAAAGATGAAGGGGGCCCAGATTCTGCACTTCCAGAGCCATGACAATAGGGAAAGGATGAGAATAGTGTCATCCCCCGAACCACATCATGTCCAGTTTGCATTGCAAGGTCCCCACATCCCATTACTCCAGGCACTGCCTGCTGGCAGCTCTCCTCCCTCTCACATCCCTCTGCCAAGAGCAAACCCACACTGTTAGAGGAGGAGAGCTCTCCACGGGGTGCAGAGGAACAGCATGGGAGCTGACAGGCTCTGTGTGCACTGTCAACTGCTCTGTTCAGTGACAAGAGCAGTGAACCAGGATGAGCTGAAATACCAACGTAGAGCTTGTGAAAGCATCAGCTGCCACCACCTGGCTTAGAGCTCTCTGGTGCATGCAGCGTGTGGGACCAGCACGTGGATGAACATGGTCCCTGCTGGTCCCAGGCACCAGGATGTGTTCTTGGGTGCCAGAAAGGGTCTCTGAAAGGACACAAAGATTCTTTTGAGCTGGAGCTGATGATCTGATGCTAACCATTACTGTCTATGAGTTTCCACTGCTCACCTCACACCATCTGCATGATTTCCTTTTGCTTGTTGCAGGAAAGAAATACCAACTAAATGCTGCAGCTTTCCCCTGCAGTCATCTGAGAGCTCAGCACGTCCCCTCCTCATTACCAGCACTGCAGGAATGGGCTCTGGAACAGGTTGAAATGGCCAAGAACCCTCCTGGGCAGCGCCGTGTCCCAGCAGCCAAGGGCAGGGCACAGGACACAGGGGATAGCCCAGTGCGGCAGGAAGCGGCACCGCTGGAGCCGGACTGGCTCTGGCAGGAGGAGCCTGAGTGCAGCCCGGCCACAGAGGGCAGAAGGTGAGCTCCATGGGCCAACCCATCAGGACTTGTGTGCTGCAGCCCTGGCTGTGGTGGCTCTGCTGGAGGGGAAAGGCTTCACCAAGCCCCCATGGCCAGGGTGCTGCTCCCGCTGTGCCAGCCTGCAGAGAGATACCCCCTGGCAGAGGGGTAAGGTACCTGCCTGACTAGAGGAGGGGCCATGCAGGAGCAGGATGAGGGCTCCTGGAAGGGCTCTGAGCATTGCCTCCTCTTTCTCACAGGAGGAATGTCTAAAGCAGGGCTCCTCACCTCACTCTGCAGCATCTGAAGTTGTTCTTGCCAACCCCGGAAGGTGGGATGGGACCTAGATGAGGGCAGTCCCCATCTGCACAGCCCCAAAGGCAATGGCAGTGCCAGCCTCACTCATCCCTGCTTCCTGAGCGCAGGGAGTGAGCACGAGTCTTCCCAGCACACCCCAATGGGGACAACGAGGATGGCTCTGATGGTCCTGGAGCTGTGACACAGAGATCCAGGGGGGACGCGCAGCCAGCTCTTGTCCTGAGACACCGAGGTGCAGAAGGAGCCTGTGGAGCGCGGGGAGGGAGAGCAAGCAGAAGGGGAAGCAGCCTCTTACCTTGGGGACACAGCAGCCGGCCCAGCAGCCCCCGGCCCACCCGGTCCCCTCCGCAAGTGGAGCCACCGGAGCCGTCAGTGCCTCTGCCTGGGAAGAGGCTCGTGCGGGGCGGAGGCGGCGCGCGCCGCGGGTGG